TTCATCACCTCATTCTTCTTTCATTTGAACAGTATACAGTTGATTCTAGAGGATTTTGATGCATCTGGATGGGAGAGAAATCTAAGGACAGGGTCCAATTTAGACCATGTTTAAGTCTCTCTCTCTCTCTCTCGTTTATATATATACATATACTTTTTTTTCTTCATATCAATATTTTCTTTATTCATAAAAATGAATTAGACTTAATTATTCTGGCAAAAATTAAACAAAAATGCCACTGCTCCCTTAGTTAGAAAGAGACATTAACAACATTAAAATACAAAAAAAGAACATTGTTAGACTAAAGTTTATCTTAGAATTTGTATTTTTCAAACCATTTGAAAATCACTTCCATGGATTTGGGGGAAAACAGCATGGCCTCGTTTTTTGCACAAAGCAGTAGGTGTTTAAAATATAATAGATGCTGAACATCGCTGAACCTTTAGTCTACTTAAAGTTTTTAACAGCTTTGTTTTTTTCACCAAAACTGTGTTTCTGTGTGGACAAGCAGACATTTGTTTGCTTTTAAAAGTATCTTTATAAGACCTTAATTTTTCAAACTTTTAGTTTTGAGTTGTAAATTAGGACTACCAACATATTGGACTCAACATTGTACTTGAGAAAAACTAAAAACATTTTTTAAAGACCTATCAGACCGCTTTATATAGTCTTGTAATTATTGGAAAAGTTTTTAATGACACTTGTGAGAGACTTGACTAAAGCAGATGATTAAGTGGAGACTTAAAGCCAGAAGGAAGAGTGAAATGTGATCCATGAAAGTACTAACAGTGGGAACTTTGATAAAGATGATAGGCTGGAAGCACCATCACCTATAAAGTAGCTTACAGGAAGATCGTGCAGTTGAACCAGAAATAGATAGCACATCTTTGATATTAGAGAAGAACATCTCAACAGAACGGAAGCCTTTAACTCAGGTAGATAAGTAATGTTTCTCAAGTTTTGCACCTCAGTTTGGGTATCGCTGCCCTCTCATTAACCACAGACACACAGTCTACGTCTCAGTTACCTCTTTTCATGTTATGCATTGCCAAAAGTTGTGTGCTGTTCAATTAAGAGGCAATTCACTGATCAAAGTGTTAAATGAAGGCTGAATTAGAGGATGCTGAGATCAATAGATTATGATTAAAACGTAAGGATTAAATGTGTGGAAAGGGATGGAGGATTGGGTAATTACACATGCAATTTATTTCCAATGTTACTGCCGCCTTGCATCAAAGGGGTGTTTATTCTGGCAACGTTTGCTACCTTCTTTGTGAACCTTTTTAATCACCTCATTTCAGGTTCATAGAGATTATCTGTCTGCACTATAAAGCTGGGAACTCGGCAAAAAGGTAAATATTGTTTTAAAGCAGTGGTACGGCATTCCCTCTCCTCTCTGTTGGGTGAAACAAGATCAAAGTTCTTGCCATAAGCACATTTGTTTTGATTGGTTCATAAGTGAGTGGAGTGAGCCAAACAAGCAGAAAGGAGGGAAAAAACTATCAAAGGCAGAAACTTTGTCTTGCAATAGCCTGCAGTTAAATGAGTATGGGGTTCTATAGAAATGAATTGGAGGGGAGGGAGATAGAGTTAGGGAGGGTAGGCAGTAAGCTTGAGCCCAACTTCAAACAGTTTATCGCTCCACCAGTCACAACACGCCTGGCCCTTGCCTCTCCTTGTGCTACCAACTAGTGCACTAGTTCCACATCAAAAGCTGTCTCCCTCAGACCAACTAAGTTTAGGCTTGGAACGAATTTTGTCTGAGCATTATAAGTTGTTGCAAAAATAATTTGTTTACTTTGATCTGTAAAGTTCCATCTCTGTAAATCGTCTAGACTGGATGTCAAAAAACATACTTTTCCCTGCCTTGCAACCTCATCATCATCGTCCCTGCACATCTCCTGAAATAGTCAGCCAACAAACAGAACTTGGCTTTAGGGCAAAGACTTCCTCCTCTGGAAGAAGTTTAAAGCACCAGAATGTCTCCATAAAGTGTCAGGACTTCAGCACAACAGAGACGTAGAAAGATCAATGGGCCCGTAAAAAATTGGGAGGATTGCATCTGAACAAACTGCAGGTGTAGCTTCATCCAAGACTCCAGCCCCATTTTCCCCAGCGAAGGCACATGTCAGCTTCGGTGTTCAGCATCACTCTCTTCTGCATGGTTTCAATTACTATATGAACAAGAATAGAAGAACCTCAGATCGCCAATTTTATAAGATGCAGTAAATCAAAAACTTGAACTCAATATTCTGGTCTTGAAATGTGACAAAATGTCATTGCTCCGTTTTGTCCTGTTGGTCAAACTTGGTTGTACTGGCTGGCTCAAAGCGAACCAAATGGTTCACCAGCCAACCTTTTAACTTCATCACCATTAGCTCATGCTTCACAGGCTGCAGCTGCAAGAATTAGTAAAGAAAACAGCGGTCTGTTCAAACACCAAAAGCTGACACACATTACAGGATTCTGAGGAAAAATAATCATGTGAGGACTGACATACACACATTCACACCCTAAGGGCAAATTTGCTGGGAGCTTTTCTATTTTTTTTTTTTTAAATGGAGACCTCACTGAATTCTGCTGACTGGTCAGATCAAATATTGGCAAGGGTACTTTGACTCTGGTTAAAAGGTTTGCAAATCTATAAAACTGCAGTCTTTCATCAGCCTTGCAATAGCAACATCAATACTTCTTTGTGAAGCACCAACAATCATGTTTATGCAGCACATAATAGAGAAGTCACGGCGTAGATCTCATTGTGCTTAGGAAAGATCAAACTTCTTTAAGAGTGATTGTACTGTTTAAAACATGTGATGCCCTTTAAAAGAAATGATCTAATGATAACTAACCCACTAAAATGACATTTATTTGATATAGCGCATAGAGTCCTGGAACCCCTCAAGGTGCTTCACAACACAATCAGTCATTCACTCATTCACACACACATTCACACTCTAGTGGGGATGAGCTATGATGTAGCCACAGCTGCTGTGGGTGCACTGACAGAGGTGAGGCTGCCGACCACTGGTGCCACCGGTACCTCGGACCACCACCAACAGGCAAGGTGGGTTAAGTGTCTTGCCCAAGGACACAATGACAGAGGCAAACTGAGCAGGGCTCGAACATGCAACCTTCCGATTACGGGGCAAGCACTTACCTCCTGTGCCACCATATTGCTCAATGAACAAATGCAACATGCAATTTCAGAAAAATGTGGTTTGCCCTTTTTTGCTCACCATAGGTGTTATAGACATCACTATATATAAGGTAAATTTCAAATGTTATGTTTAAGGTAGCCATTTGACCATTGAACAGCATCAGGGTTAGGAGTGCATTTTTTACACAACCATAACAGCACAGTTGTGCCTCTTTGTTCTGAGTAGTTGGGTGTAAGTTAAAATCAAAGTCCCATTAGTCATCATCACACACTGGTGAAATTAAATTTCCACATTTGACCCATCCCCATGGGGAGCAGTGAGTTGCAGCAGTAGCTGTGCTCAAATTTGGTGGTTCAACCCTACAATCCAACCCGTTAAAGCTGAGCATCAAGCAGGAATGCATTGGGTCCCATTTTTAGGGTCTTTGGTATGACCTTGACCAGGATTTGAAGCCTGATGTCCCAGTCCCAGAGCTAGCACTCATACCACTAGGCCACTGAGATACCAACATGATGCCTAATGCCCTCCCCATATTGGATGGGTCTCCATGATCTTCACAACTTACCATAATGTGGCTCGGTTACGGCAAAATTGGAAAACCTCTTGTGGGTATTAATGTTTCTATTCAACAAATAGTTTTTTTTTCTTGCTATCTTCCATGTCTCAAAAACCTTCTGGAGTGGCACCATTGCCACTCCACATGTCTGCAGCAATTTACCATAAAGATCCTGTTTCATGTTCTCACAGTTGTATCAGTTCACCACCCTGCTACAACTTTCTCATACCCCTTAGGGTGCAACAAGAAGCCCATGCCACTGCACTAGGACAATTCTGCTGCATTGTTGTTACATTTTCCAAGCAAGTAAGACAGCATCATGACAAGTCCCAGTTCAAATTCTCTAAAACTAGCCACACTGGTGTGCGCCAGTTCCAGTATTCCAACTAGGACTCAATTTTCTGCTAGCATGATAATAAACATAACATCCACACCGAGGAAGTTTTGTGCTTGCTGCAGACCATCCACAACATGTCTGTTGTAGAAATGTCATCATCTAGAGCAGGGGGTTTTCATTCTGGTTCTCGAGGGCTGGCATCCACCATGTTTTAGTTTTAACCCTGCTTCAACACACCTGATTTCAATCAGCAGGTGATTAGCAGGCTTCTGCAGAGCTTGATGAGCTGCAGCACAGAGGATCTAACCACTAAATCAGGTGTGCTAGAGCAGAGATACCACTAAAATGTCCTGGATGATGGAATTGAATACCCCTGATCTAGAGTAAAGTATCTAGAATGTTTTCAATTCCGAAAGGAGAGCAGAGTTACTGGACAATCGTGTTAAAATCAGATCATATTTTGGTACAAAAAAGACACTTCCACATTAGAGGGCCTTTTTATCTGATGAATAATGTTTAGCTCTTGTGTCTCATGAACTAAACTCTACAGTTCCTCCCAAACTGTGTGTCTTAGCAACGACTTGTGTCTGTGAGTGTACAGCTCCTGCTGAGCTGTCTGCTGAAACAAAGTCAAAGGAGGTGGAAAGCAGCAAACTAGATGCAAAGTTCATGACCTACCCGGTATAGTTTAAGGACCTTACATTCACTCTCTTCGTGACTTTCAGGTTGCTATCTTGTCCCTCCTTTGCACAACCATCTTAGGGTCTACTAGAACATTGTTGCAGGCAGTTTTTTGGTGGGGGAGATCCGAGGCAGGCCAGAACCATCAACCTCATCTCCAACGTCTGTGCATTCCAGCGGTTCAGGAAATGGCTGCTTCTTGTCATGTGTAAATTGTGACAATGAGGGTTCATATAATGAGTGTGAGTTGAATGATTGTGGTACTCACAGTTCTGATAACAGGTGCAGTCGGTGGAAGGCCCTGGGCTGGATCTCGCTTATGTTGTTCATGCTCAGATCCCTGGAGGCGCAGAAATACGAAGCATCGTTACATACCTTATTGTTTTCCTTTGTAAATAACAAATGTTTATGATGTGTTTTATACTTGGTAGTCAATCATCAAAAGCATGGAGGTAGACAGAGTTGTAAGGATTAGGTATAAAATTGGGAGGACAAAGGGTGAAGATAGAGATGCAGAAGAGAATTTTCCCCAATGAATCATAGTTGGGCAGCTGTAATTTCCTCCTCGTCCCATGAACTCTTTTCTCTTTTCCAGATGTCTCACTCGACTTTCTTTCACATCTGACCCCTCAGGCTCCCCTCATATATACCAGTTTTTTTCTCTCTTTTCCCGTCCCATTTTTTTCTTCTCTTTGTATTTTGCTTTGGATTCTCAGGAGTCCACCACCTTCACTCTTTATTCAAGGCTCGAACAAACACTCCATCTCTATGTTTCTATAACACTTATGCTGCTGTCAGAGCGTGTGTTCTGGGATGAGTGTTGATGCAGCTGCATTTTGGTGCAAAACAAAGAGGTGAAGGGCGTACATTTTCACAACACATATGCAACATTTTCAAGGTTCAGCCTATGGTAGGAAACACACATAACCCTGTGGCCCAAGTCATTTGAGGTCATCTCTTTGATAAAAACAATGAAAGCAAAGGACATGTGTCACCCTTTTCTTCACTTTCACTGTCCTTGGGGTCTTGCATGAGTCTTCAGCAGTGAGGCTCGTCTGTGCGTGTGTGCCGGGATGTGTATATGACAGTAACCATTGCTCATAAAGCCAGACCACCGGGCTAGCAAGTGTAAACTGTGCTCTCAGAAGCCCTTCGAGGTTGGGAGTTTTGACGCACTGGCTGTTTGTTTGTGAAGTCAGCCAAGCTGACGGGGGGCTGAATGGATCTGTCGTCAGGCGTGAGCTACATCCAGCTTCAAGGGAGACCTGGAAATGTCACTACAGGTCATTTCACAGCTTAAAACGCTGGTATTTTAGTTACCCGTCTTAATTAGAACACAAGGCAAGCTGGGTACACTGAAAGTAGATTCTTGTCAACAAAGTTTGTCATCGGATGTAAAGATGTAGACTCCATCTGTCACTTGGAGATGTTCTAGTAACCTCTGATGATTATTTTGTCCTGCTCTTTTTTCTACCATTAATTTTCTTTAGGTCAGGTAATTATAGGTAGCTTCATTGGTTGCCAGTGAACTTCAGGGTTAATTTCAAGATCCTGGTTCTGGTCTATAGGGCCTTACATGGACGAGCACCAACATACATTGATGATCTTCTTAGTTCCTACACACCCAGCAGGTCCCTGAGGTCCAGTGATCAAAGCAGCGCACCAGGCTAAAGATCAAAGGTGACAGATCATTTGCTGCTGTGGCCCTCAGACTCTAGAACTCTCTCCCCCTGAGCCTGAGATCAGTGGACTCAGTGGTCTCCTTTAAAAAGCAACTGAAAACTCACTTGTTCAAGCTGGCTTTTGTGTGACCTTCATCACCCTCTCCTTGTTCTGCTCTCCCTACCTTTTCCACCTTCCTCAGGATCCTCTGATTTCCCTCTTTCCTCTCTCTTTCTTTACATTTTTAATTACAATTCTCAATTGTGTGCTAATTTTAGACATATTTTTAACCATTTTCTAAATTATTTTTATATTTTTACATTTTTTGTTTTTGTGAAGCGCCTCGTGATTTTTATCTCGAGAGGCGCTATAGAAAAAATATTTTCTTCTTCTTCTTATGTGTCAGTTTTGCACTATCAGTTTCATTTGTTTTAGTAATTTCCTTGGAAGGTAAAATAAGAACATTGTTTTTCATTCCTTTGGAATTCCATGTTACAAATTTCCACATCATGCTGATTTTGACTGAAAAGAGATGGGCGTTTTAATCAGCGATTAGGAGAAAATATGGAGCATTAGAACACACAGTAATAAATAAATAAATACATACATACATACATACATACATACATACATACATACATACATACATACATACTGAAGATTGCAAAGAATCAAAAATATTTCAGGTGAAAAAATAGATACATTGGATATTTATTTGACATGTTTGCATAACAGAGCTGTGTCCAGGACTTTTAAAATGGGGTGGCCCATGTGGGGCACTTGTTTATGCATGGGTGGCACCAATGGTTATGCTTATTTATTTATTTACACAAATCGTTTATTTATTTATTTACTTTATAGTGAATTTTGAAGTTTCACATTGCACAATCACCTTTTTTTTTCTCTTCATCATCTAGCTTTGTGGTGGTTAGCAAGTCACTTCTTGTACCATTATTGCCACCAACTGGAGTTCAGTGGGACTCTAAATATTATTTATGTGAATATGAAAACATAATAAATAATATTAATATTACAGAAATGATCTGTAGGCCTGGGCTAGAAGACAATGTTAAAGGTGCATGCTACCACACACTATTTTGGAGTTTACAACTCAAGCCTTTGGTCGACAATGCAAAGTCAATTTAAACTGGAACTTAGTAGGGTGGCACCTGGGGTGGCCAATCAGATTCTAAGTTTGGCATGTGCTACCCCAGGCCACTCTCTGGACACGCCCCTGTTGCATAACCCAGTGAAAACCAGGCATCTGAAGAAAGTATTGCCTCTTTAGATTCTATCTGAAGTATCTGTATGCTTTAGGGATGCTCGATATTAGCATGTCTATTGATATCCGATATTGTCTATTTTTTAATTTCTGAGACTAATATAAGCCGTTATTTCTATATGCGGTGTCCCCGTCTCATAAAAAGAAGAGCTAAAACATTTTAGGTTACTAACATCACTCATCTCTTGCCCTGCATTTTAAAATTTGAAACACATTTTGTGCAAAATGACAACTACTTCAATTTAAGTTAGTACTAGGAAAAGTGTCATATTTATTTAGTCTCCAACGGCAGCTGAATTTCATTCTCCCCAAGCGTGACACCAAGATATGTGTATTAGTCAGAAATTTATATATTTTCTATCTGTATTGTACAGTTATGGTGGTAAAACATGTATAAAGGTCATAAGATAAGAAAAACATGCCTTGGGTGAAGAAACTTAGGGTTAGTTGGCTGGCTACACATAGCTATGTGTTGTGAGGACAGCATACGTTCACTACATCAGTGTTTCCCAACCCTGGTCCTCAGGGCACACTGACCTGCATGTTTTCCATGTCAGCTTCAGCACACCTGAATTCAGACGTGTGGACTCGAGAAGCATGACTTGGATTAGAGTCATTATTTTGATGACTTCTGACTTGACTTGATAAAATCTATGAAGACTTACGACTTGACTCGAACTTGAACGTGAATGACTTGAAACTTGAATCAACTTGCATCTGTTGACGATGATGACTTGAGCATATTTGATATTTGAGCACAAAAGTGGCACGACATGGACAAAAGTCATAAATCATTCTTGGTTCTGGATTTGATCTTGTACTGCTAAATGCAGCAGCTCTTTGTTTATAATCAGTTTCAGTTGCACTTTCTGCTTGTTTGAGCAAATAACCGAAGCTTTAAGAAGCTTTATTTCTGGAATGTATTTATTATCATCGTCATTAAATTGAAGTTGGACAGAAGACTTGATTATGACTTGAAAATTCAAAGTTGGACTTGGACTTCACTTGGACTTTCACATCATTGACTTTGGACTCGACTTAGACTTGGTTGTCTGGACTTGACTCGAGACTTGACTGGAAAGACTTGTGACTTACTTGTGACTTGCAAATCATTGACACACCTCTACCTGAATTACACTCCCTCCACAGGAGGACATCAAGTGCCGCAGATTCCTGTTAATCACTCGTTCATTTAAGTCAGGTGTGTGGTAGCAGAGCAACACTGGTGATTAAAAGGACAACATGGAAAACATGCAGGACAGTGTGTTTTGAGAACCAGGGTTGGGAAACACTGCACTACATAAACCAAATTCTATTTCACAAATTGTCTCAAATAAAGTAAAATATCTCAAAAACGATCTCAGCTCTGTCGTATTTTGACATTTGGGAGAGAGGAGAAGTAGCTAAAGAGCTTGATGTTTGTTTGGTAGGTAGAAGTTTTATCATTAAAAGACTGAAAACCGATACTAATATTAACTGATATTACCTTTTATTGCCAATATCGGCCAATATTAATGGCGGACCAATAATATCAAACAGTCCTCATATTTTTATGTATTTTTCATTGAACATGTGGTAAAATACATCTACTACGATATGATAAGATACAATAAACACAACACCTGAAAATTAACATTTGTTAAAATGATTAATCAAGAAAGGCCAATAAATCTGTCTGCACTATTTCTACTTCAATTTACTATATTTGAAAAAAACAATGCTACTGGTTGGACGTGTCCGGAAAACCTCACTAGGGAGGCGTCCAGGAGGCATCCTATCTAGATGTTTGAGGGTTAGGGTTAGAGTTCCTAAACTGGCTCCTCTCGATGCGGAGGAGCAGCAGATCTTTTCTGAGCCCCTCCCGGATGACCAAGCTTCTCACCCTATCTCTAAGAGACAGCCCAGCTACCCTGCGGAGAAAACTAATTTCAACCACTTGTATCCGCAGTCTCATAATTGGAGTCACCACTCAAAGCTTGTGGCCATAGATGAGGGTAGGAACGTAGATCGACCGGTAAATAGAAACATCAATTTTTACATAATGCACTTATCTCCACCGCTATATGTCCCGTGATTTCAAAATTTCTTCTGACGTCGACTTGCTTATTGTAATAAACTAACAAGTGTAGCACATTTAGTCTGAGATGAATAACGTTGCCTTGAAGATTACACAGGAAGCAGTGTGAGCTTACCAGATAACATAATCAAGACTGTGTGACATCATGTGCATCAACAAAAATAGGCATGTGGCCTCATTACAAACATGCAAACACATCTTGTTTACGGTGTGTGTACTAAAACTATTCAATGGAACATTTTAGGCGAATCATTAAAGCCTAAGACACACACCCAAGCAGCTTCTGGGGATGCGCCCACAGATGGAGACAACCCTCCAT